ACAAGATACTTCGTGAGACTTTTTGATTCAGATGTGTCTCCAGAATTTGATATATTTTTTATTGCGGAAACAATAGGACTCTGTCCTTCATCACCTCCATTAATTATTGCAGAGCAATGACCCAAAGGGTCGACAGATTCTGATATAACCTGTAATTTCAGATGTTTCAATTCAGCTTCAACACGTTCCAATTCAGTTATTTTAGATTTGAGGGACAAGTTCTCAGAGTCTTTTTTTGATAAGTTTTCCTGAATCGAAAATGCGTCTTTTTGGGCTGATGCTAACTTACTCTCTAATATCTTAATAATAGCCTGAAGTGATTTTATTTCTTTTAATTGGATATCATACCTGGCTTTATACTCATCACGGGAAATCTGTGATCGGGTAAGTTGGGATGTAAGGTTAGTATTCTCGCTTTGAAGTTGTTTGCCCTCATTAATAATTTGTGAAGTGTGAGTATATAATTCTTGAAAATCTTTACTATAACGCAATGTATCCCGATTCCACTTCTTTTTTTCTCGGTTAAAATCTCCTTCTCGCTTCAAATATATATTCTGCAGATCCTTATATTCATTAGCAAGATCAGAGTTAGATTTGATACTATTGCGTAATGCTTTTTCAAGCTCTAATTCATGAATGTTACCAAGCCGATGAGCTTTATTCTCAAAATCTTTCAAGGTAAATACATTGCTCATAGTTACTAGTATATAAAAAATATATTTTTTTATTGTATTATATATAAAACACTCTGGAATGAATAAAAATATTATCGAACGATCTTTAATAATATAAATCTATGATAAATGAAAAATTTCAAATAGATCACAATATGTTTATATCTATTTTTATATATTAAAAAAATCTATTCTTATAAATCATTTCACTTCATTCGTTAATAATTTTTATCCATCTTGAACGATAAATATTTATCTTTAACATTTTTATCTGAATAATAAATAACCATCTTTAACATTTTTTATCCCTCTAAAATATTCCAAAAATCTAGACCAATGAATACCCCATTTTTAAAAACATATTATCGTCGAAATGCACATTATTTATCTCGTGAGCAGATTGAAGAAATTAGGAGGCTCAAGAACAAAGTTCCTATATATAAAGTGATTGGTGATTATCATATATGTAAAGAGCGTATTCTTGATATATGGAATAATTGTGAGCGTCTTCAACAAGGAGGAAATTATAGACACACTCTAGAAACCCCTATCGACACTTCAAATAATAAGCAGGTTAAGAAAAAAAAATCGAGACCTAAATTGGTTCAAATTTCTGACTCACCTGATGTTATTAATAAGGGTGATACATCCAAAGATCCGATAAAAAACGAAATTACTGAAGACAGTCACAAAGTAGCTATTTTACCAACTGAAGAATCATCCTCCGAAGATGTCTTAGATTTGTTTAAGAGAACTAATAGTAATATAGAAAAAATTAGAGAATCTGGTCGTGCTCTTAAACAATCTTAGCTTCATATCGTTCAAGTAAACTATTATAGTATCCTATCATTTCTAAATTTGATTGAATGCTAGATAATAATGCCTTTTCAAGCTCTTTTATTCGATTTTTCATACTTTCATGATTTACATAGTTAATTTTTTTTTTAATTCTTCACTAGATGAAGAGTTAGAGTCTCGAGTTTCCAATTCATCGGAATCCAATGTTTCTGTGATCTCTGTCTCTTTTGGTGGATCCTTCGCTACTGGGGTCTTGCTGAATGTTGGAATTATATAAGACTTACCATGAATATTTATATGAAATTGGTTATTATTTGGATCAGGAATACCTTGAACTTTTCGAATATTTGACATGCCTAAAAATAGCATTGGTTTAGATTCTCCATTATCAATACGAACAAAATTTCCAATAATTGTAACAGTCTTATTTTCTTTATCCTTCAAGGTAACTGGCACATCCGTATACCATCCTAATGAATCGGTAATATGTTTGGAATTGCCCTTTATAGTAAAGTCAGATGGTTTATCAGCCCCCCCATTCAAGCGCCTTAATTGCAGGATCATTTATCGCACCGAATTCAGATCCAGGATCTAAGAAAGATTCAGAAATCGATAAATCATTTATATTACAATGTAAGTACTGTAAATATGAAAACCACTCATCTGATTTTTTCTCTTGAACCTTTTGAGATAGACACATTTTACGTATTTCTGGTGAAAGCTTTGGCAATTGCTGATCATATGGTTCATTTACCTGTTTTTTTTTTTCAGAATCATTATCAAGCCATATGCCGTTTTCTTCTTCATACCCACTATTATCATCATCTTCATATTGAGGATATAAAGATTTAAGAGGTGTGAAATAAGATCGAGTAAAATTAGATTTCGCAATATTATCTTTATTTATATTTATTTTCTGAAATTCTTCGATTAATTGGTTCACAGATCCACGAGTTTCATTCAGTCCTTTTTCCACTCTTCCTATTCTATCATTATGTGTTCTTTTTATATCATTACTACGCTTTTTATATGTTTCCATAAAATCTACTAATGGGCCATCTCTATATCCCATACCATATAATTCTTTTAATGATATAGCACTATCAATTTCATCTGTATTTTTTGGTGGTATAGGTGGTGGTATTTTTTTCGATTTTTGTTGTAATATAGATTCTATTTCAGCTTTATGTTCAGCATCACGTTTTTCTAATACAGATTGAAATTCTGTTTTTTGTTGTACTACTGCATTCTGAAATGCTTTTTGCATATCTTCTAAAGAAATTCCTTGCTGTTTCTGAGTTGAAACAGATAAAGGGTCATATATTTGCTGAGAAACTAATGGGTCCGGTATTCTATCTCTTTTATTTCTAGCTATTCGGCGTAATTCTATCTCATAAAGCTTTTTAGCCAATTCATCTAACGGTAAATGTTCACCAATATCTTCAGCTTTTTCAAGCCATGGAAGTGGAAGAGCATCTATAAACTTTCTACGTAATTCTTCAGGCCTATAGTTGGCTCGTCTACCTATTCGTAACAATTTTCATCTATAGTCATGCTCCCTTTCCTAATTGTTCCATATTGCAAATCCCGAAGCTCCTCTTCTATTGTAGGAAAATGAGTTTTTAGCCACCATATGGCTTGACCAAATCGAATACCAGGTACAACTACTGTAGTACCATTACCAGCATTTGGTAGATTAACAACAGCATTAGTAGGGCGACCTCCTGCCACACGCCAATCTTCATCCCAAGGTCCTTCTACAGCTCTTAACTTGACTATTGCAGTTCCAGGTTGTCCAAGAGCCTCATTTAATCCATCAGCACCTATCTGAATAGCTGTACGTCCGTTTACAGCTACTAAATTAGCTTGTCCAGTACCATCAGTTAGATTAGTTAATTCCCAATTTGCCTTTGTAGTAATCTCGTCATCGAACCATTCTAAAGTTCTTCCTCTCATACACCCTCTTAAATATCCTATAGCTACTTCTCTTCCCGTTGGTGGACCCCCCACATTATCTGCTGGATCTACACCTTGGTTTTGCAAATATAATCTAAATTTTGCTAAAAAATCCGGAATACTATCATCCCAATCAAAAAATGGTTGTGGAAATCCTGCCATTATCCTATTTTGTTGATTATTCTGTAACAATAAAATTTGTCCTTGTAAATTTAAAATTAATTGTTCATTATTTCGAGCCCGAGTTTTCCATTTACCCCATTTAATGTCTAACAGCAAATCACAAAGAAATAAATCATCTTGGCATGTATCCAACCTAAGTTGTAGATCCCTAGCATGTGTACGACACCTTTGTAACTGTTGAAAATATTGTCGGTTTTTAAAATTAAGCGTAAGTTTTTCAAGCAATAAAGTATCAACACGTTTTTGCATCCCCTTTTCTAATTGCTTAGCAATCCCCCACCAGCGACGTCGCTCTTCTTGTTCATTATTGAAAGCTTGGATAGATAAATCT